TCCCCTATGTCTGGGTGTCCAAGCCCCTCCCCTAGGCCTGTGTCTATCATGTTTCCCAGTCCCTACCCTATGTCTTGGTGTCTCAGCCCCTCCCCCATGTCTGGGTGTCCAAGCCCCTCCCCTATGTCTGGGTGTCCAAGCCCCTCCCCTAGGCCTGTGTCTATCATGTTTCCCAGTCCCTACCCTATGTCTTGGTGTCTCAGCCCCTCCCCCATGTCTGGGTGTCCAAGCCCATCCCCTAGGCCTGTGTCTATCATGTTTCCCAGTCCCTACCCTTTGTCCGGGTGTCCTAGTCCTCTACCCTAGTGGTTAAAAGTGATTACTTCAGATTGTTTTACAGGTGAGACAGTTAAAGATCAAGGTCATGTATTTACAGGTGAGACAGTTAAAGGTCAAGGTCATTGCTAATACATGTATAATAAAAAAAATCGTTTTCCCTATATATACTAACCAAAGTTTCCATAGGGATCAAACTAAATTTGTTGCTCCACAATATATAGTTTTGTATTAACACAATTTTTAAATACGATTGGTATTTCGTGAAAAATTGTTTTGGTTGACATTGCAGCGGATGGCGGGAGACTTACTGCAGAGGAGATGGACTCGAAGAGGAAGCAGAACATTGCGTATGAGTATCTCTGTCACTTGGAGGAAGCTAAAGTGTAAGTATTCCACATCTAAACATCACGTGTGTGGATCACATCTAAACCGCACATGTGTGTGGATCACATCTAAACATCACATGTGTGTGGATCACATCTAAACAGCACATGTGTGTGGATCACATCTAAACAGCACATGTGTGTGGATCACATCTAAACAGCACATGTCTATGGACATGAGCTATTGATAGTTACACAGTGAAACTTCATCTTCAGTTATTGGAAACATTTTGTTTCTATAAAGTAAGTCAGAAATAAGGAGCATATCACTTCAAAACCAGGATGGTAGCATCATGTATATGTGCAGGACCTTTTCTGGAGGCGACTAATGGGGAACCCCCTGCAGAGTTGGGGATTTGCTTTTGGTGTCCTCTATTTGGCGACACAAAAGCGACCAAAATTAATCTGCTGCACCCATTGCAATATTTGGGATCTATATCTTTCTTTCTACTTTTAATTTCCTTTTATTTCCTAGCGCCTTGCTTGGCAACAACTCCTTATAACCTTAATGTTGAGCATTCGCCAAGGTAAGGAAGGCAATGGGATCTGTCCCCCCAGGCCGGGACATACCAAAGTTCTAAAAAATGGGAGTTGTTGTTCCCTGCTTAACGTTCAGCACTTAGGGGAACGGAATCAACTGGTTCACCCGTTGTCAGTATTATGTGACTTGGGGGAATGCTGTGCTGGGTGCCTTCAGCATGGTATTTCAGTGAGATAGCACTATAAATCGGCACTATCACAAGGAGGCAAGCACACCAACATACCCTGTCTCCTGCATACACACACACACAAGCACGCATACACTACACACATGGAGGCACGTCCTTGAAAGACTTAAGCTGTTAATAGGACATTACACAAAATTAAACCAAACCAAACTTAGTGCTTATGTTTTGTTGGCATACAAGTGTCCTGATGATTTTAGACTTTGTATTAAAGACACCTGATGTTATTATAATTGCCGACCTACAGCTTTCAAGTTTATTATTACTTTAAGTCGTCCGACTTTTCAGTTACAACATATATACAGTACAATACAATTTACATCCATCTAACATAATATGTCTATGTCTAGATATTGATTTAGACAGCACTAGTACACTAGCTCATCCAGGTAAGACAGGTCTCAACTGTGTTCAATAATTAATCATCTTCTATATTGTTTTCTGTGTGAACCTAGAGGTGGATTATAGATCGGGCCAGGTAGGTAAAGGTAAATATAGCAAGGAAAGGACACGGTTGTACAACTACAGCCAATCCAATTCTTCCTTGGTTAGGATGTTGACTGGAAAGATATTTAGATATTTAAAGAAACAGCAGCTGTTATATAATATTGATTAATCCTAAAACTGAGGCTTCTCTATAACCATTAGTGTGTCCCTCTGTCCATGCCTATTTGTTTTTCAGGGAGATTATCTCAGAATCCAAAAGACAAATCTTTCTGAAATTTGACAAAAGTGTTGCATTGATATTAAGATGTGCAATGAGTTAAGAAAGTTTCTAAGGTCAAGTTTAAGGCAAAGGTCACTTTTTACTGATAATGAATCATGGTGTTATAGTCATTAGTTCAGTTTTTAAGTCTAGGTATATTACAGCCTGAATTGTGATGGACTATATACCAGTTAAATTGTATTCAAATATCTTGGCAATTCAACCAATTCTTAAACAGAATTAAGTTAGCAGTAAACTTGTTATACTCCCTCCCCGAAATAAAGGTATACATTTTGTATGTGTGTAGTAGAATTTCTGTCCTTGTGTGCATGGACACCTTGTCTAAAACATTGTAATGATTGTCCAAACCAAGACTGATCAGCATGCAGCTTCAGAGTGTCGTGGAACACTCTCGGACAAACATGAGAGGTGAAGGTCATGGGAAGGGTTGATGGGAGAAGGATGCCTTGGAGCCTTTAATTAGCTCACTTTATATTTTATAACGAACATTGCTGTCTGCTTCTTCTCACTGCCCTGTAGTTATATTATTTGGGCACAATTACAAGCACACCTTCACTCATTCTTTTCCATTGAAAACAAATACACAAGTCAACAAATTAGACATGTTTTTCTCCAACGTGGTATGGACTGGGGTGACCCCTTTAATTGTCCAACTGACATGTTTAACAGGACTGTGTAAATTGCAAGTGTTGTCAAATGGGTCTTGTATTCAAATACACCACCTGGAATTGGTCTTGTATTCAAACACTCCACCTGGAATCGGTCTTGTTTTCCAATACACCACCTGGAATTGGTCTTGAGTTGTTGAATTTAGGTCAAGCTTTTAAAAAAGGATCCCATTAAATTGAATGATATTTGATCAGTATTTGAAAAGTTTCTTAATACATCTGTTCCATTTAACTCATCACCCATGAAATTTCATAATGATCTTTTCTAACCTTTGAATTGGATGAGTTCAAATGTGTCTTCAGGGGTGAATGAGTAATTAAGGCCTGAAGGGTTAAGTTCTCAGGTTGATTTTAACCCTTATATATAAAGACGCTAAAATAATTAGGTATGTATCACTGTTCCAAAAGAGTTCTGTTCTTAAATCAGCTATGTTTATTGATTGGTGATTTGGACATATTTTATTACCCTGGTAATTTATGACATATTTAAACCCTACCCAAGATTGAATGCCTGCATTAATAAATCAAGTGGTCGATCCCATGTTGAGGCATGCTTAAGCTATATAGGGGGTAGTGGGAAAAGGGGAACTTATTTAATTGACATAAGTGCCGGAAAAAATAAGAGGATTGCGTGAGGGATGCTAACTACAGCAAATATGATCATCACTGATTGGCCAGAAATTACTTGGATATTCTCAAAGGAACATACTGACACTAGTATTCATGAAGTCCTAGAAGTTACTTAGATCAGATAGAAGGTCTCCATTGGTCGATGTCCATATAAACATACTTTTTTCTGATATGCTATAATTACATAATCCTTTTTTTATAAAGTGTAAATGTCCCAGGTGTGTACTTATTACAAAGGATCACATAGCTAGTCCTCTATATGTGTCTTAGAATGGTAAACTGTGCATTTCAAACTTCATTCATGTAACCCCCTCCTCTTCCCCTCCCACTTTAACCTTACAATACTCGATATATTGAGATATACTGATACATTACATAAGTATTAGTCAATTCTACGTGGGTGCTAATGTATATGTAGACAGGCCATTGTGTGAGAGATATACTGATACATTACATAAGTATTAGTCAATTCTACGTGGGTGCTAATGTATATGTAGACAGGTCACTGTGTGAGAGATATACTGATACAGTTTTAAGTTTAAGTTTTATTTATTCACTCCGACACACTTACGTGTGTAACAAGAGGTCACATACATATAGTAAGTATGATACATGGCGTGTGATGTACACAATTACAACATTGTACATAGCATAGATACATATAGAAGTACACAAATAGTACAGAAATTAAGTTAATATTTTTTCAAGCTTTTCTATGAATTTACAAAGTTTTGTGTAAATTTTTACATTAAATATATTAAACAATCCTTGCATTTTTATTTGACTTGGATAAGTGAAATAATATTTTGGTATATATTTCTCTCTTAGACATTTAACTTAAACACTTTCACATATAAATAAGTAATGAAATTCATCTCCAATGTACAAATTACATAATGTACAGGTTCTTTCTTGACGAGGAATACCTAACCATCTACATGACATAAGTATTAGTCAATTCTACGTGGGTGCTAATGTATATGTAGACAGGTCATTGTACCTGAGTTGTTTGTGTCCGGGCTTGGTTTATAAAGGGAACACCCCTTATCCGCCCCGTCAATGTCCACACCAATTACTTTGTCATTAGTACACACCTGGGCCATTTACACCTGCCCAGCTCACACAGCTGAGCTATTTACTGAAGCCATTACGGCCTTGTCTGGCCCCTCCGATGACCACTGGTCAGCTGACAGATTGCATTGACCACTATATCAATTTGTCTGGTCTTGTCGCTGTGTATATAGTTTTGATCTGGTTTATTTTTTGCATCATTTTACACATATTACTTGTAATAGTTTCAAATTTATGAAGCAATGCTGATGTGTTTTGTAGATCCTATAATGATAGATGGTGATCGTGTAGACTTGTATAGTATGGTCTACTTACCAAATCAAGGGTTCTCAGGTTTTATCTTGCCCCAATGTATAGAGTTTGTCTATACATTTCAGATACCTTTTTATTACGGTAATCAGATGAGCCAGGACAGTAATTTAAAAGTTGATGGGCAGTTTTTTAGGTCACCTGAGCTTTAGCTCAAGTGACCTATTGCTATCCGTTTTCGTCCGTCGTCGTCCGTTAACATTTTACATTTCAAACTTAAAGTCAAGTTCTGCTGGAACTGAAAGTTGGTAGAATGATCGCCTCATGGTCCTGACAAAGTGTTGTTATTTTTCGGGTCGATCAGAAATCCAATATGGCCGCCACGGCCGCCATTTTGAAAACCTATTTCAAACTTAAAGTCAAGTTCTGCTGGACCGATTGAACTGAAAGTTGGTAGGAATGATCGCCTCATGGTCCTGACAAAGTGTTGTTATTTTTCGGGTCAATCAGAAATACAATTTGGCTGCCATGGCCGCTATTTTGCTACTAAGTTCTAATAGGCCGATCTCACTTAAAATTGGTCTAGGAATGATCAGCTCATGGTCCTGACAAAGTTAAGTTAACATTATACTATTTTTTACTCAAATTGGTACATATTTCAACAACAAAAATAAATACTGTAGACTCAGGTGACCGTTTAGGCCCATGGGCCTCTTGTTTTTATCAATTATTTCATTCCAGGTACATTGTACATACAATTTGCCTAAAATAAGCAAGATTTTTTTTTGATCTTTGGATTTCTCTGTTCAGGACTTTTTCATACATGAAATAGCCAGAACGTTTCATAAATCTTTCATAATTTGAAATTCTGTAACAATACCTGTATAATAATTGGAATTTAAATGAAATTAAATATATGTTTACTTTTCT